GAGCGAATGCTATGGCACCGATTAAAATTAAATAAGGGTTAAAAGACATAATAGCTTCCAAGACGACGATGCAGTAAAACACAGTTCAAGTTAATGCCTAGGTAAATCCCAAAAAAAGGGGATAGCAATAGTTTAAAGCTTAATTCGTAACGCGATTATCCGATGGACGGGTAGTTACGGAATCAGATAAGGAATGTATTAGAGCCGGTTTAATCCGGTTTTTTAAATCAAATGTTTATCAACATTATCACGCGTGCAACCTTATTTAGGAATTTAAGAATTGCTTTGTTTTGTTGCGTAAAATCGAGAATCTTGGGGAAAATCTGAATATGGGATTTTCAAATTTTTGATAGACATAAATAAAGCGTGATAAAGTCTTATTACGTATTATGGTATGGCAAGAATTTTGTTAGGACAAAAGGTTATAGAATAAATATTTATCTTAAACCTAATTTTATCAATTAATTATTATTAATTTATACGTAGTATTAAAGGAACTATACATCTGATATACGTACGTACGTACGTATTCACTAATTAATCCACATATTTTTAATTCACAATCTGATTGGGTTGATCTATTCAATGTCAAACGATCAATGAATATCGATTTGCACAAAAAAAGTAAGAATTTTTTTTTTTTACCCAAAATTTGGGATTTATATTTTATTTTGCCCGAAATATTACGTAGCATTTACATTATTGCTCTTTGCAAAAAGATGTGGCCTCTGCAGCAGTGTCTGAAATTCAATTTTAATTTAGTTGTGGCCCGCAACTAAATAAAAAACTTTACTTACGGATTATATGTATTTAGTTGCGCATATGAATGTATTTATATGCAAATTCGAACATACCTATATGCAATTCACAAAATTTATTTGCAGAACTAGCATATACATTTCAGATTTTAGTTGCGGAAACTTATAAATCATTTGCGGTTTCTATCGATTTTAAGAATTTCATCGATTTCGAAGAAATAAAAACGTACCCGATCAAAAATATAAAACAACATAAATCTAAAATCTCAGAAATTTTCCCTGATCATCATTACAAAGATCATGTGGCCACATCTTTTTGCAAGCACTATAACATTGTAATACCAAAAAATGTTTTACGGATTATTTCTTAATTCGGCTAATTGATGATGTTAGAGATCGAAATCGCTTAAAATTTTTCTAATCGTTTAATCATGTCAACCATTTAATCCAGTTGGCATTGAGATAATTTTAGTCAATGATTGTGGAATCATTTTTGTGCGGTTAAACGTTTCAATTCTTACCTGCATTAAACGGATTTTAAAGTTTGAGTTAGAGTTAGATGAAGGTTAGAAAATTTGGAAACCGGATATTTAAGTTTTAATTTATTGCTTGTATAAATAATTGTGCAACACATGGAGACGATTGATAATTGATCCGAGAGTTATCATTATCCCATAATAGAAGCTGAAGAAAGACTATTACACAAACTTTCCTAAAATTTTAAATATGTACCTTGTCTTAAATTTTAAGTCTGGGGAGTTGGGGCCAATAAAATTGTAAATGTTTGTTACACAAAGTTCAGGACATTAATGTATAACCAACTTAAATGGATTGGCCTTGCGACCAATCAAAACTCGCAAATTAATTTATAAAATTAATAAATTTAATTAGATTTGTTTGGAACTGTTCTATTAAAATAACAATAAGTTTTTGGTAAATATTGTATATGGGTTTGACCAGAAGTTAAATTAGCATGTCATTAGGGCGACTTTTTACACTACCCTAAATTTATTAACGTGAGGCAAATTATTTGACTATAAATATATTGTATATATATTTATAAGAAGAGATGAATTTTCACATGAGAGATGAATTTTAACAGTAAAAAGAGATGGGTTTAAGTTAGGGAGATGGGTTGACGTGATAACTTTATTAGTTTTATTGTTTTGGGTTCAGTTTAATAAATGTGTATATGATTGACGTATATATCATGTAATAATCAAATAGTAATTTGGAGTTTTTGATTTTTTTCCCAATTCCAAAATGCACCTGAATGTACGTACGTGCTGTATAGATTATATACAACTATACAGTATAATTATAGGTCGTTATATTTCTTATCTGTATCGCTTCATAAAAGCCTATTAGAAATTATGCTGACCAGTAGAGCCCTTAGATTCATTTTGCAAGAAAAGTTCATACAGGTAATTTGTTTAATATTCTTGATGTAAATGTTGCCATAAATTTATCATGCTATATATCATCATCTATCGCGTAGATGACTAGACAATTTGAGGAGCAAATGATAACTGTATCGTTACATTCACTCGATTGGATTTATTATTTACTGTATATTAAATGTCTATATTAACATTTAATCTAAATTGCATTTTTATACAGCACCACATACTTAAGTACGTATGTAAATAAGTGCGTAGCTGGTTGACTATGTAGATCAGTATTTCGATTCTTGCCTTCAATGGAGTTTTAGAGCTTTGCAATAGAATCTTCTAATAGTAAAAGTTTCAATGGTACTACTAATGTTGACTTCCAGTGACCCCTTAGGTACGACATATACATACCACCCAAACTATATCGATAAATCCTAAATCCCAAACATTGTAAAATTGCCCCAAATCTCAGTCCCAAACATAATAAATCCCAATAGATTTGCCAGCAAGTGATACCATTGTAAAATTGCCCCAAATCTCAGTCCCAAACATAATAAATCCCAATAGATTTGCCAGCAAGTGATACAAACCCAGAAAGGAAATTTCTTATATGGATCATAGGATCTAAGAAACTACCTTTTACGTTCTAATAAAAAAGTTTCTCGCAAAATTTTAATACCATAATCCTAATGTTTTGACACACACATGTTATTAGTGCAAATACAAATAAGATGTCTTTCCTCTTTTGGGTTTATCATCCTAGATTAAGTGTAACATAATAAAGATAAAAATTAGTTCAAACCCTGGGGTCCTATTATATTGACAACACTGATGTCAATCACTTACATCCATGGATAAACTTCTCCGATTATATGGCGGTAAGAGAGATTTACTATCGTTTTACAATTTCTCCGCGTGTTATGCAGTAAAATATGAGTGCACATTATTATGCGTGCATTATATAAATTTCTCAAACACAATATGATTAAATCTCGATCTTAGTTCAAAAGAGATCTATACGTTTTTCTCTCCATAAATACATAAATATCTTAATGTGTAGTAACTGCATAGTTACTCCATATTAAATTGAATACGTAATAACTATGTATTTTTGCACATTAAGAATTCTATGTTCCTGTAATGTACATACACCATTTCTCATATTTCTGTATTTCTCACTGAATACATCTAATTACATGACTTTTTTCAAGTTCCTAACATGGTATATCATTTATTATAAAAAGAGGACCTATTTGATTACAAAATATTTCAGTCGTTGTTTTATAAAGTATCTCTATGATTATCTTGATTATCTGCTACTGTATGTTGCAATCAAAATATTATAAGTGACCAACTCGTGACAATTCCAAAATTGTTGCGGTAATTGTTCATTAGAGTTACCTGCCTAAAGTATTCTAATATGCCAAAAATACTAAAGATCAAGTCTTAGATACGTCAAAGTTATAATATTTTATAATGGAAAAGAATTTAGCCAGAAGCATAGAGCACTAAACAAATATTATGATCAAATAGAATAGTCAACAACCCCACAAAATTCTTGAATGTAACAGAACCTTTGAATATAAAAGGACCTATTTGGAAAGTAATTTAGGCAAAATTTAATTAAATAAATAAATAAATGAACGCCAACGGCGTTCCAAGGCAATCTTGCCAAAGGGTTGAGAAAAAGTCTTATTATCATAAAAAATTGAGAAAATTTTATTAAGCAAAACGATATTTATAAGCTTATTCCGCGTACATTACCAATGCATTAAAGATTGAACTTCTATTATAAATATTATTTGTAAAATTTCAATTTCAATATTATGTTAACTTTTATAAACACTTCCAATAGATTGTCAATAAAAAATATTATTGTCAAAATACTTTCAATTAAAAAGGTAAAAAAACACCCATTTTGGATAAGCGATATTAGCCAAGACTATGATATAAATGTATAAAGTAGTTACTAGATTTGGATTCGTTTATATAATTATCCTATTATCATATTTAAAAGGCTTTACTAATAATCGATCTGAGAAAAATAAATATCCGTATTTCTTATTTTAAAATATGATGTGTACCAATTAGGATTTAATGCTTTGTTCCAGTTAAATTATTTCTAATTCCTTTAACTGAGCTAATGCTACCCCAATACTTTATAGATTCGATAAATAAATTTATCTCACAAAAGTGCATTAACGTTACACGAAACACACCACGATAAATTGTTTAGTTCATAATATTTATGCTGTCTAGTAATACAGATAAATGTTTAAGCCTTTAAAGCCGAATGCTATAGTATTAATTAAAGCTTTATTATATAGCATATATTATATTTAAATCTATTAAAAGTTGTAAGTTAAAAGGTTTGGATTTGTGTTCTAAATAATCCATAATACCCACTCTTACCTTTGCAAATGAACATTTACTTTAGTTAAGTTTTCTATTTTGGCAGACTTCTAAGGACTTTAAATATTGCTAGATACGTTTTTGAAACGCTAAAAAATCATATTAGTTAGTCTTTATTATTGTTATCATTGGGAATTGCCTCTGCAAATAATAATATATTTATTGTCATTGTATGGAAGGTAAATATTTTGATTTGTTTCACCCAGCTAATAGAATCTTCGCGCAATTTTTACGCGTTTCATAACTTGTATAAACAAAAAAAACCTAATTTACGCCTTTCAGTTACAAATTTGATTAACCTTTTTTTTTTAAGTCATGTTGATAAATAATTGCAAAATTTATATTTATATTATTGCCGATTCTCTATTTATACCTTTAAAATTAGCCTCTGTTCTCGATAGAATTTTCTCAATTATTCGCTTTTGATCTTGCTCTACGAATGACACCCGAAGAGTTTAATCGTGGAATCTTTCTCCTAACCGAAAGAGGGCCTTCAATTTTTCCTCAAGAATCTGTTTCTGATTTCCAAAACCTAGCACAAATCTTTAAAGATAAAAGTATACAACCTACTGTAGAAAGTGTCTACTGGCTTGTTACCAAATCCAAGGTTAAAAGTCTTGGTGACTTTGATGATTCTATTATTACCCGCTATGGTGAACTTTTGTGGTTCACAGTTCCTGACAAGGAACAAGATAAAGTCAAAGAACAATACCAAAATATTACAGATGAAGTTATTACGATATTGGCATCATGTTCATCAGTGCCTACAACGCCTACGCTAACCCTTCAACTAACTTCAACTGACCAATCGGTTGAAGACATATTTAATGAAGGGACTAGTTATTTTTCTCAAACAAGTCATAATGAGCAAGGTTTAGATTCTAACAACGTGTTAGAAGGAATTACACCTTCAATTTAAAAATTTTCTATATTGCAATTTTGATATAGTTAAGTTTTTATATTGTTTATTTTTTAAGCTGCATTTTTAAGCCAACATTTAATAAATTATTAGGTTAAATATTAGGCCGTTTGAAATTGATTTTTAGTTTAACGTTGTCCCCCCTCTCCTGAGAATCCCAAAATTAAACAAATAGAATTGATCGATATAATATCCAGCGTGGCCGTCGGAATTTTTCGGCATATTTCGGGATTTTCCGGTACACTATTTCAATTTTTATGTTTGTTTAATCCCCCGTGTAAGCGAGAAAAAAATAACGTTAAATGTAATGTTAATTTCAAACGGCCTTAATTGTAACAGATTAAAATGAAACCAGATTAAAATAAGATTTAGTATAGTATAAAATAGACAAGTCCTCGAAAAATACAAAATTTTGGTGTGCATTTTTTTAATCTTTATAAGTTTAGGAGTCTGCTTTAGGGGTAGAATTTATAGTAAACAAGTATAACTAGTTAAATAGAAATCCCAAATTTCATTTTATCCAATTTCATTATGATCCGCGACATTAATTAAGCAAACATTAATAAAGTTTTTTTATATAGATTATTTTTAAGCCAAACATTAATAAAGTTTTTATATAAAGTATTTTTACGCCAAACATTATCTTGTAAGCACATAAAATACGACATTAATATGTTATTGCTCTTCGCAAAAAGATGCGTCTGTATTATTTCACCGACAATCACTTCACTGACAGCTTATTTAGCTGACATTACACCAGGTGAAATTTAGTAAAATATATACCTGTAACTTATCAAATACTTAACTCTAACCCTATGTGGCTAAATGAGCATTCAGTGAAATAACTGTTAATAAATTGATTAGAACCACTTTTTAATATATTTTATTTAAATTATTAGAATTACAAAATAATAAAGTTTATAAATAAAAAATATAAAAAATAAGAGAATATTATTATAGTGCTATAGTGCCGTAGTGCTACTCTATATGTAAATACAAAATTGGTGTAACTTGTAAATTAAAACAACCTAATCTTTACAAAAATAAAACTTTTAATTAGGTTTAGATTAAAGCTAAGGTTAAGATTAGGAAGAATTTAGTTTATACTAAAATTTTGTAAGAAATTTTTTTTATTAGAAAACAAAAGATAGTTTTTTAATTAAAATTTTAAGATATAACTAATTTTTAAAAATTTATTATTTTTGTTATATAAGAGGTATCTGTATATTACATCTGATTTTTTTTTTATTTTGAATTTGTTATATATATGATAAGATTAGTTACAGATTTGTATCAAGATGATATTAATTTTAAACTATCTATTATATTTTGTATAACCACCTAAGTGTAGCAAAACACCTCCTAATTTTCTATTTATAAACTAATTTAAGACTAGCTACTATTAGTTATAGAGGGAAAAAGAGGAAGCCCAGATTACATCTAATTTTAAATTTTAATTGATCACAATACTCTAACATCATAGCACTATAGCACTATAAATAAATTTTTAAAAATAATATATTTTAGAGTATTGCTTATCTTAACAGGTTGTAAAATTTACAGCCCAGTATTTTACTATTCAAATTGCAGAATTAGTGTGATTTGCAAATTTTTTTGTATAACAAAAATAAAATTTTTTTTATAAAAAAATTAAAAAATTACTTATAACTCAAAATCTAATTTATAAAACTACTTTTGGTGTTATAAGTAAAAAAATTTTTTGCCAAATTTTACTATAAAGTTTGTCATTTATTTATTTTTGCTTTAATGATCTTTTCTTTATTATTTTAATTAATGTAAGATATAATATATATATAATTGTACATTTGAGGCTAATCTACATTATAAACTTACTTATATTTGTACTAATAAAAAATTATTCAATCTGTAAAAACAGTAGCTATTGCTAGATTTTGCTAAGGAAAACTTAGGTGTGATTACCTAAATGGCTTATATTTCCTCATTTGAGATCTATAACTTATTAAGAACTTAAATCTAAAGAATCTATAGTAGGTGCTACTAGTTTTATTAGGATCACTCTCCTATATAAAATATTACCAATATAATAAGATATTCTTTAGCAAAATTTTGAAAAGCAAAATGAAGTAAGAGAAAATATAAGAAAGAAGATATTTTAAAACAAAACAAACAGAAAATAAATAAACTAAAAAGAATTTAAAGTGTTAATATAAAACTAAAGAATCTATCTAACAAATTAGTATATGTTAACTAGGATATTTGTCTATATAATTATAGTATTTATATAGAATTTAACTAATATAAAAAACTAAACTAATTGTATTTTGGTCTGTATAGAGGCATTAAAATTATATACACATAACTTTGTTGTTTAAACTGTATATTTCAAATTTTTTTTATCATCTTAACTTTAAATTCATATTTCATTCCAAAGTATAACAATTTTAAACTTCATATGTTCTTATTATTTATTTAGTATATAAGTATTATTATTTGAATCCTAAATTGTATAGAGCAATATTCTCAAATAGAAATCAACTCCCATGTTGCTATATGTTTGTTGTGATTATGTCACAGAGTTACCAAATATAGAAGTAGTAAACAATGTTGATTTTTTAATAGCAGATAGCCAAATTCTTTACTTTTTTCAAAAATTAGGTTTGGAAATATCAAAGCAACAAGGAAAATTATAATTTTATGAGTTTCTAAACAAAGAAAGTTTTCTAAGAGTTTATTATATTTTTCTATCTTCAACCTTCTTAAGCTTTTTTTTTACTTGCTATTCTCAAAAACTTTACTAGTTTGAATACTAAACACAAAAGAAAGTTCATAACACAAACTAGAAACAAGGCTTAACTTCTTTACAAATTATTAGAAATGTCTGCTCTTTGGTATATTACATTTATAAACTTTATCAACAACAGTTTGTATCAAAGAAACTTCAAGCTGTTGTTAACTTCTAGGCTTGAATCTTTTATTTACTTTCGATATTAGTTGATCTAAGTAATCATTGAGAAGAGTTGTTTATAAAGTTTGTTATTTATTATAGCTTTAATCTATTCTAACTTGAATAAAAAATATTTTAGCAAGTAAATTATAGTAATTTTCTATATTTTATTGTTTATTTTTAAAATAGAAAATTACTATAATATATAAGCTGTAAAATTTACATCCTGTTTTAAAAAAAAATTTTATTTAAATTAAAGTTGAGATAAGGTTATAATAGAGATATTCTATAGAATAGGTGGGCAAACTTCACAACTTCTTTATTAAAAAATTAATAATTACTAATCATTAATAAAGCTTATTTCTTATATTGCCTACCTATTTTATAGAATATCCAAAACAACCTGTTTTAACATATATATTAAATGTTTTAAAACATCTAAATTTTTAATAAAAAATAATAAAAATAATATTTATTCATAAACCAATCATTGTTTAGAATTTTAATTATATAATATATAGAACTTTTTGTAGCAAAAGTGGATAATAGATTAAAATAACCTTTTTAAAAATTTTTATAGTATCAGTTAAATGCTTCTACATTAATATTACTAATCTTTTTGATATATAAAAAAATTTTAAACAATATTATATAAGTTTATATAATAGTATTTAACACTACAGTTATTATATCTTTAGAAAACTAAAATCAGATATATTAAGTAAATATATTCAAAACTTTCAAAAACCTTATACTTCCCAAAATTTAAACCTTTATATCTAACCTCTTCTTAGTTTATAATTCTACTCTAACTCTAAATTTTATAGCAAAAATATATGTAGTTTAGAATACTACTAGTGCATTTTGATATTCTTTATATTATATACTTAAAAAAATTTATATGTTTTTTAAAATATAAATTTTTTTTATTTAATAAAAAATATATAAAAGTGCTTTAAAACATATTTTTAACATGTTTTAATACATAAAAAATAAAACCATGTTTTTTGCCATTTCTAATAGGTAACAAATAAGTCTCAAAGAATAACAATATATACTATATTGATAAAAAATAAAATCTAAAATATATTACTTTAAAAAATATAGAGTATTGCTAATCTTAATAGGCTGCGAAATTTACAACCTTGCATATAATCAATCAAAATTGCAGAATTAGTATGATTTGCAAATTTTTTTTGTACAACAAAATAAAGTTTTTTTTATGAAAAAAAAAAAATTACTTAAAACACAAAATCTAGTTTATGAAACTATCTTTGGTGTTATAAATAAAAAAATTTCTTGTTAAATTTTACTATAAGATTTGTTATCTATTATAGTATATTATATAGATAATCTATATACTAATCATAGGTGAAGTTTGAATATTTAAACCATGACATCGCGTGATGCGATATTTAAGTTTCGGGATTTTGATTTTCAGAATTTTGAATTTCAGGATTTAGACCCGGGTGGCGATACATCGCTATAGCGATAAGTTATAAAGCCCATAGATTTTATTGTTTATTTTTAAAATAAATATTTTTAAAAATAATCTAAATTTTAAAATATATAAAAATAAGTAATAAATTTAATTAAATAGAAATACTAAAAATTAAATTTAATATTTACCAGTAGGAATTTTAACAGTATTAACAGATTTACTTGGTAAAGTTTCTGATATCATAAAATAATTAGTTTTAAATAAAAAATAATTTTTTAATAAATTAAATGTTTTAAAACAAATACCTTTAATAGCATTAACTGCATTTGATATTTTTTGTGTATTGATAATTTTGCTAGTGTACATA